GTCTGAGACAAGTTTGAGACAACAGAAAAATATCACGAGTCCAGACTCCAGGCTCAATTACTACAGCCCTACTGAAAACACACCACTCACTGCTGTGGCTCTCAGCCATGTGGTATTTAGTTTGCTTGATTAATTCATTAAGATTTAACCTTTTCACTGTGATACACTGCACATTTTAACATATTTCAATCATTAGTATATTTCCATGTATACAGATATCACTGTCCAAATTTCTGATTAGAGAGTGAGAGTCCTTTGAACAGAGCCAAATTCAGCTTTATTTGATGTAACTGTAAATTATTGAGAACATTGTTGACTAAGAGACAGTCAAATGCAATTGGATTGGGAGGGAAGCGTGTGCAGTGTGTGTATGTCTGTCTCTCTGTGTTATTTCAGAAATACAAAGGGTTTTACATGATTAAAAATATGACTGTAAGAGCCTTGAAAAATTGAATAACTTGTTTTGTAACTAAACTGTTTTGATTCATACAGAATTTGCGCTTGCATCATTAAAAATGTGAGGTTTTTGTTGTAACAAAGACAGACATGCAGTGTTGGCAAAATATTTATGAAAAAATGTATCAGTGGAGGTTGTAATAATTGGTGTGAGGACAAATGTTTGACACACAAACACACACACATTCCATCACTCGCACACAAACCAAGCAATATCCTCCATCAGTTCCATTACAAATGGTCTAATCAGGAGCCACAATGAGCTATGAGAGCGAGCTCTGTGGAGTAGACAGGAGGTTTCATTCCCTTACATTGTGGTCTGTTGGTCGGCTAGCAGAATACTAATGCAAAGCTGGAGGGGATGCAGGGCTGCCAGCATGTGCAAAAAGCATGACCTTGGGCTAGTGGCTCTGTGGGAAAACAGGATCAGCTGCAAAACAAGGATTAGAGTGCCCCCTGGCAATGGAAGCAGAATCTGGAGGGAAAGTAGTGTTTTATCCTCTCATCATTAACACAAGAGATGGCTCTCCCCCTAAAATCCTCTTCACTCACACTAACCCTTCTTCCTGCTCTTTTCCATGTCTTCTTCCCCAGCTCCCCTTTCCACACACACTGTTTTCCTCTGTCTCTCTGTCAGCCCTTTGATTCTGCTCTTATTCCTCACATCCTCCCCTGGCACCTCTATCAAGGTCACAACAGGGACTTACAACGGCTTTAGGACCCCCAAATCTCACGCACATGTCCTTCTTGTCACAATCAGGGGTGAATCCCCATGTAATAAATCACTGTGGAATAGATTATTTTACAGCCCATACCAATTATGAAGAAGTGGGGAGCAAAAAAGGTTCCTAGCTGGATTCAACAGGGCATAAAACTGGCATGAGCCAGACTGAGGGTGCAGTGTAAGGGAGAAAGAGCACAATGATAAATGAATAAAAATAGTCTAATGGGATGCAATACGTGCTCATGATATTGATTTGGGTGGTCATTTTGCAGCAAAGAGATTATTATTTATTATGTTATATATATTATAATTATTATAATTATTATTTTTTTTAATTAGTGTGTTCTGTCCTGGGCCAGCACTGACTGAATACAGTTTGAATATACTAGCTCTGAAAACCACAGTACAGAGGTCATTATCATATAAGAGAATGGCACTTTTCACGCCATCTAGAGCGACAGAGAGCAGTATAAACTATGTTGCACAGTTTATTTTAGGGCACCATTTTTTAAATACTTTTAAAGTGCCAAAAAACATAATGATGATTTTGCAATTATAAATATGTTGTGGCACCATATAAAATGACATCCTGGTCATTTGTATGGCTCAGAAAGTGATGATTTTTGATCGATTTGGATTGCCTGCGCAGGTGCATAGAGAGGAGATTGCAACAGCATATTGCCATCTGGCAATATACAACAGCCGAACAGTGGGTAAAAGGAGACAAATCGTGACCTATTTGTCTCTTGACAGAAAACAGTGGGTAGTGTTTTGAAACGTCATATGTCTCCATTTGTGATGCCCCTAAGATCATTACATTTAGCCATATTAACTGTTTATCATCTATCACTGTAAACTGATAGAATGCCCTATTTTTCTGGACTACTGTCTGTGATAATACTGCAGCAGAAATAATGTAGTTGTTAGATGTACTGTATGTTTATTTTTACATGAAAAACAAGGTATGTTACAATTGTATGACTAGACTAGGAGTGCAGAGCAGTTCTATAAAGGAGCAACTGAGGTGATTTCAGACTACACAGACCTCCAATCTTGTTTATCAGTTGCTGCTGATGCCACTGTACATAGACACCCTGAGATATTTAGATGAAGCCTTTTGATTTAGTCAGTCTTTGCCACCTGTCTGTGTGGGAGCAGGAGTCACCTACAGTATAAGTGTGGTTTAAATCAGTGTTGGCGTGAACAGCAGCACCATTGTCTGACAGAGCATTGCCCAGGCTCAGACTCAGGCCCAATTTTCTCTACAGTCACATGGTGTATTTGTCATGATGATATCTAGCTCCCTCCAGTACATTACCAGATCAGTGGGAATGTTATATCTATGTCTGTATAAATAATACAGTCTGTAAATCAAAAATAATGAGCTAAAAGACCTTAAAATGCTCTGCAGAATTGGTGATGATTCTCTGTAGGTGCCATTTCATATAGTCACATAAAAATATTGGTAATTGCAGCTTTGATGAGTGAAAGACAAATAATGGAGGGGCAAGGTAACAATAAGGAATGGATATGAGAAATGCATATTTAACATGTTGAAAATTAAACAGGCTATCTCAATAGCATCAGAAGCTACCAATTGGTTTCAGTTTTGCAGTGTACTGACATAATCAACTTGAAAATGACTATCAGTAGCAGAAAATACAATTTATAACTTTGACTATGAGCAGTATAGTTTAATAATGTGTACACACTGTATACAGTAGATAATGTGATGCTGTAGCTGCCATGCTGAATATAGAGATGTTTAAATAAGTCCCTGCCTGAATATCCCACTTGAAACTCTAAAATAGTGCAGAGCACATTTTGGCCTACTGTATTTTCCATTTTGTAGCTCAGTTTGATTTTGATTACCTGAGAGAAAATGTTTGATTAAAAAGCTAAACCATTAAATCTACCATTAAGGCATGGTTCTAAAATGCAACTGCAATTAATGTCTTACTCCTGACATTATAATCATATAATGCAAGTAATGTTTTCACTTATTTATGTGATATTAATGGAATTAATATGGAATGTTTGACAGAGATATTTTACACAGTGAGAGAACCCTCTTTGAAACTGGATGATTTGGCAAAAACTCATGCACCCCTGAAGCTAACACATTTTACTACACCGGTTTATGAGGAAAGGAGCCCGTGGTGCTGATAAAGACCTACTATCTAACTTGCCAGTGTTTCAACAGGGACTGAGGATACCAACCCCAATATACATCCACCTTGGTTTCACATGATTGATGAACCACATTAGGATGTGAGTTTAACTGAGCTAACTCCATCCGCTGAAGAAGACAGTGAGCTAGAGCTGGAAGATAAAACCTTTTGGCTCATATTTTTGTGTATTTGACAATGAGATTGTGATTTGGATGGGACCTTTGGGAAATAAAGAAACAGATTGTATGAAAAGTTTAGGATTGAAATTGAGGGTACTATATTGGTTTGGGATAACTGCAGTAAGACTGACTGTACTGAAGACTAGAAAAATAATGGTGTGTGCCAAGAGAACATTCAGTAGCAGCGACTTTTTATTTGTAATTTCATTGCCGCAAGATCTGAAAATGGAGTCTTTCTAAAGTTTTTCTGATGAGGGGATAAAATAATGCCCAGGACCAAGAGCTCCACGCTGCAAGCTGGTAACACCATAGGAAACCATGAGTTAGGTTTCCACTTCTCAGTGGCTGGCGTCGCCCCCACATGATCAAGAAACCTAGCAGTGGGTCAACCAAAATGCAAAGTAGACTCAAACTCCAGCATCCAAAATACCAGCGCTATGTTTTGCAGCTCCATTATCCCCTACAAACAGTCATCTCTCTCTCGTCATCGGTGTGTGAATGTGTGTGTGAATGGGTGAATGGTGTATGATCTCCTGTAAAGCGCTTTGGCCAGTGTAACACACTGTGAGAAAGCGCTATATAAATACAGTCCATTTACCATTTACCATTTACAACAAGCTGCCATGTCTATAGAAAAATGCAGGGCTTCATTCATTTAAAAAGACATTGCATCAGAATATTATCCAACAATCAAACACAATCCCTAAAAAAAGAGTTACATAGAAATGTTTTAGTAAACACGGTGACCTAAGAAGTAGGTTATAAGGGAGGGGTGGTTTAAAAAAAACTGCAATGCTACGTTACACATCCAACAATCAAATATGTTCCCTTAAAACTTATCTGCAGTTGCAGTTTAGTTGAATATTCTAGGAGCGTACTTTTTTGGAAGAGACAGTTGGCTCATTTGTCCAATGGAAAATCTACAAAATATTAAACTAACATTACAATCCACACACAATATAACCATGGTTTAAAGTGAAGCCTGACCAGAGGGCTTTTTCTTTACTTCTAAGTAGGCATTCATATAGCAGCCTATGGACTAGGGTTTGTATATGCACGAGGTGCTGTACCTGTGAGTGTAGGCTGAGCGCCATCTACAAATATTATACTGTAACACTGCGGGACAAATGACAAGTAGTCATGCTGAAAGTGGCCACTTATCGCAGCAGAGTGACACTTTGAATGCCTACATCTGTATTTGACCCACCTACATGCAGTATGTACCTAAAGCTTAAGTTATAAAATGAATTTCACTTAATTTATCAGTTACTTACACCATGTACATTTCATATGAACCTTCATTTGAAGGGTTGGTTTTAAGATTTGTAATTAAGAGTTTTCTGTTCCCAAGATCCATCCCAGTATAAACTCACTGTTTGGTAATTGGATTACCATGGTTTAGGATGGAAACTGAAACAGGCCTGACTCAGCCAGTGTCAACTTTACTGATTTTGTGTGTGTGTTGTACAGGAGGCTATCATTTCTCCTGTCTCCCCTGATGTACTGTACCTGTTTCGAGTCCAGGCCATCTGCATGAATGACATGCGCAGCGACTTCAGCCAGAGCATGCTCTTCAGAGGTAACAGAAACATACATTTACAGTCTCAGACCTCAAGGGCCACCACAATATGCAATGTACACAGCCCTGTTTCAGCATGTCCCCTACCTATTGTCTTACATTTGAGCAAATAGTATAATGTGACAGTTAGGATGCCTTTGATCATAATATCACAATATCTTTCATACAGTATTCAGGTTATGTGTGTGAGCTCAAATCAATATCTTCAGGCTAAAGGAAAAATAGTACAAAAATGGAGAAAAGTCAACCACAAGCAGGCAGCTAAAATGCAATGAGATGCATTCATTTCATCTAACTACATCCAGTTTATTGGCTGCCTCATTAAGTAGTCAGTGCCTTACATTTATTACGCCATGCAGATGTTTGATTAATGAGCTTACAGTGCACTGGTGGATGTCTCAGAGACAATCGTTCAAGTGAATTGTTTCCTGACATGTCTTGGATTTTTTTTCTGTGCCTCAGCAAACACCACCAGGATCTTTGAGGGGACAAGGATTGTGAAAACTGGAATGGTAAGGGAAATAGAGATGAATCACTACTGTCATATTTTCACTTTTTTCCAGCAGAGAGCAGCTGTTAGCATCCTTCTTCTCTGGGTGGATAAGAATGTCTCAGTAGAAGAGAAGTTTAGGAATAGACAGTTGTTGTTTGCGTGTAAGACAACAGGATTTTAATTCTTAAATAGAACAGTAACTGCAGTGAGATTCAAATGTAATCAAAGTACCATACCATCCTTACATTCAAGAACATTTGGTTGTTTTCTTACTTTATTATATATTCCATGCACCTGATAAGATCTGATAAGAACCAAATTAATTCAGACAAATCATCCCAATTTAAATAATCATTTAATATTACAATTATTCTGAACAGAGTGGTAGTTAGGTAGGTAATCTGGTAGTTAGGGAAAAGAGAACAGAATCACTCCTCCTACAATGGAATAGATAAAGTATTAAATAAGAAAATTGTCACAGAGTCAGTCAGTCATTGTTGGTCACAAGGTACAGTCAATCAGAGTCCAGAGTCCCCCCGGCCGGGTCCGAATGCACACTCACGACTGCAGCACCATCACTCCTTCTCTTCTCTAACCCAGAGCTGTCCTAACTTTTATCTTCTCGCAGTTACGCAGCCTTCTATGGCTTAAGCCAGAGTCACAGTCCCATGCCAGCTCTACACCCCTTCTTCCGAGCATTGTCTAAGATGTCCAGTACATGAACTTCTAGGTTGTGCTGACCTAGCACACGTTTCCTTTATCTAAACATGAACAGAGCACAAGAACCGTTCACATAAGGCTGAAGCTATGTCTCTTTTCCCCATTTAAGGAGGAATTCTTTCTGGATGTTTACCCATAAGTTAAACAAGGAGGACACAATCCAAGATATTCTTGCAAGAGAAGAGAAGAGAAACAGATCAAGCTTACATAAACACTTGGCTCACCCTTACATAACTATTACAAATAATATCTATATATGAACTACATACTATTCTATTACATATTACCTCTGGACTGGTACCTTGTTTGTTTTTAACCACTACAAATCTAAATATGATGAAATGGGTCCTATTGTCTACATCAGCGGTTCCCCACCATTTTGACTTGTGACATTTGTTTCCTAACACTTTGTATGACTAGCTTTAGGATTTTGCTCTGTTATCAAATATAGTTGTCTCTTATTCCATGCACATTTCAAATGAATCCTGAAGTTATAAAGTTGTTGGATGGTTCCAAATTATGGGCCTATGTGACTCAATAACTGATTTCCAAAAGTCACAAAAATTACAAGAGCCAACAGATACAGCTCCCCCAACTCTGAGGCGATAGCAGTGGGAGAAGGAGTGTCACATGCTGTTTGACATTCCAGTGAGTTCTTTAATTGAAGTATACCAGTACTTCTTCATTAAAATAATTTAATATCTACTTGTAATCCCTCATCACTATGTATGGCCTTAGTGTAGATATACATTTTGAGCAAGTTGACCAGAGTGAGTTTTCATTCTCAGATTGTTTTCACTTTTAGTAGACACCAAAAAGGTCAAGTTGTTCACTTTCAGCATGCAACATACTGCAGCTATGTGAACTGAGAGGCCTGAGCCCTTACAGTAAATGCACCTTAAGTTTAAACTTCCCAGTCAATAATGACACTTAAATGAGGAGGAAAAAGAGCAAATTTTAAATTCTAATAAGTAAATTTTTTGTTTTTTAGCCGACGGTCTCTCCAGCCTCCTCAGCCGACATGGCTCCCATCTCGTCTGGGTCATCTACATGGACCTCCTCAGGCATCCCTTTCTCCTTCGTCTCCATGGCAACAGGCATCGGCCCATCCTCCAGCGGTAGTCAAGCAACAGTGGCATCTGTGGTGACCAGCACTTTACTAGCCGGATTGGGTTTCAGCGGTGGTGTCATCTCCTCCTTCCCCAGTTCTGTTTGGCCAAGCAGAGCACCAACCCATAATCCCACCTCTGCACACCAAACTAGCGAACCCAATGAGTCCAACAAAGATGCCACCACCACTGCCTCTGCTGTCACGATGGCTGCGGCTAAAAATAACTATGAAGCTAGGTATGAGGATAGGGGAAACGTCAAGGGCCAAGGAAAGGATGGAGAGAAGGAAGGAGAGGATAAGGATGAAGAGGAGGAAGAAGAAGAGAGAGATAAGAAGAAGAAGAGGAAAAGAGGAGGTGTAGGGAGAACAGGGATGAGAGATAAGAGCACAGCGGGGAACAAGCTGCCCAGTGAGACACCAGACTCCACCACAAAAGATCAAAAACAGACTGCACCAGATCCAACTATCATGCTGCCTGGTGTAGAGGACCAACTGGAGGTGTATATTCCCAATCTGCTTGACTCTAACCCCACCCAACACAGGCAGGGACAAGAAACACTGGGCTTTCGCTATCCATACTGGTAAGTCAGCTAATGTGTATACCAGAACAAGAGCAAGAAAGGTGGGCATTCAGAGAATCAACTGCAGAATGATGTTTTTTTAAAAGAATGTAATCCTTTTTCATGAGAGATATCCCATGTTGTGTGGTGACACCACCCTCAGTTAAATGAGCCAAGGTTCTTGTTTTACTTCCACATGTTGCCGTTCTGTTTGTGGAATTCCAAGTATCTTCTTACATGAACATAAAACATAATAAATGGATAAGGTTCACTGTGCGCATTCAGATAATCCTCAGTAGTACTTGTTTCTCCAAAATGTGTTTCCTTTATTAAACATTGTCTTGTCAAGGATGCAAAAAGGCAGACTATTTGAAGCAGTCCTGAAAAACGAAATCATTCATCCAACAGTTTAATGCCTATGGCTCCCAAGGCCCTCCTGAAGCACCTCTTAACACGAGGTTACACTGACAAAGCTGCCATATTTCTAAGATGGATTGAATCGTGCAGGTTATGCCCTTAATGAGTGTATGCACCTCAGCATGGTAAGGCAGTGATTCCCAGGGTCTTTTTTGTGCAAATAAACAAAATTGTAATGTCACTGATGTGACAGAGAGTAAGAAACTCTCTTTATTCATTGCAGCAATGTTTCCAAATGCTCCCTAGAGTAAGAACATATTCTCTTATCACTATCACTGCCGTTTCATTTCAGTGGAAAGCAACAGGAAGACTGGCTGCTTTCATCGCAGTTTTCATTCTTTCCACTGTTATCTCTCAGAGGTGTGAGATCAATGGTAATGTGATTATTTTTAGATTAAGATAAAGAGCGATATGGAAAGAATCTAATATATCAGCTGGTTCTGGCAATGTAAACTGCACTTTGCAAAAGTTTTTGAGCATGAACAAAATGCAGCTGGATAACTGAGATTTGAATGTGGTGTTTGCAAGGCAAAATGTACAGGGCTCTTGCACAAAGGCCTTTATATCCACAGGTCATAATGTAATAAGTAGTGTTAAATTGCAGTAATGTAGAGCGGATGAATTGCAATCATGTAGAAAAAAGTGTTAACATGTGCCAACAGGAGCTGAGAGCTAATGCGTTTCTCCTCCGTGCTTCCTCTCTTCCTCCACCCCAGCCAAGACATTCAGCAGGGCACTGCATTAGCCAACCAAACACTGTGGGATATCAATTCAATTTCAAGTGCTTTGAAACACAGTCTAAGCACAAGACCAGACATTTTTATGAACAGAAGCAGTCTTCAGATATTTCCCACAAATGACTTTCTCAAACTCTTTGTCAAAGCACATTTAGCAAATTATATTTTGTTTGAGCTTGAGGGACTAAAGGGCAACTGCATAAAAGTTGTTGCACAAATTTGATATCTGTGCATATTCTGCTCAGATTCTGTTGTGGGAGGTGTTTTAATTCTGAGTGTGTGCTTTAGGTACTCCAGAAAGCCTCCATCTTTAGCCTACAGTATGAGATGCAAACAACTACAAATTCCAGCTTTTAAGGCAGAGAAATCTTAAGTCATGGTTGTATTTGGCTCCATCAATTCGATTTAAGTCTATCTGAGTGTCAGAAATAAGTAAATGTAGTTCATAAATGTGATGTACAGTTCACATCATATTAATTTGTGTATATGGTACGTTAGTTTAAAAATGTTTAAATCACATACTTAAACTTCTATATGTAGAATTGATGTTGCAAATTTGAACTTGAAAATAGTTCAACCAGTATTTATATGTATAAAAACAGAAAATCAGAGACAATATTAGACAACTAAGTAATCAACTTTCTGTTTTAAGACACAAGTTGCCCACATATCATCACTACCTACCTCTTTAGAAAGCCCTAATTCTCCTGTGTTGTGTCTGCCACTAGAAGATCATTTTCTGGTGAAGGGTTAAATTACAAAGGTTTGGTGATAATCAATAAAATGGAACACAATTACAAAGACTGCTGCCCCGTGACCTGGTTCCGGATAAGCGGAGGAAAATGGATGGATGGATGGACAGTTATAAACACAAATTATGGAGATAAGATAACATGTACTGCATATCATGTACTCTTAATGGGTAGGCATGATGCAGCAGCAGTCCCAGACTAGCAACAAACAGCCAACAGAATATAAAATACAAACTGGTCATGTGTCATGACCCACGAACTTGCACTCCCTGTTTTTCGTTGTTTTTCCTGATTCCCTGTCTCCCCTGCCATGTCAGCCCTACCAGCGTGATCACGCATCATTCCATCCACCTGCTGCTCATTACCTCCCAGACTCATTCAGTATATACATGTCCCTTTTCCATTAGCTCTCTGCTGGTTCATGGTCATCTCTCCCGTGCGCTTCACCAGTTCTTTGTACGTTTCTCTCCCTGGCTCCCTCGTATCTGAACAACGCTACGACAGCTCCTTCCTCTTCATTTCTCAGAGAGTGTTAGTGTCTCCACTGCCTGAGTGAACTCACCTCTTCATCTCTTCGTGAGCGCCAGTGCTTCAGCTCACCTGTGTGGCAACTCACCTTCACTCCTACAACCTAGCCAGCTCCTGCCACACCTCTCCAATTGTCTGCCACCCTGCAGCCATATCGTCTTATCTCAGTAGTAGCAGTACCTGCTCTTCCTCTGCCTCCCCAGCCAGTACCTGCTCTGCTTTACCTCTCCTTCACCCAGTACCTGTCCTTTGTTCAATAAACTCTTTTTGTGTTCCACTCCCAGTGTGTGTCTGAATACATTGCGTCCACCACAACTACACAGTTGTGACACAATGCACCCAAAATGCAAGGCCATGTTAAGAAACCTTGTGGCCCTAGACTATTAGCAAGGCCCCTACTGGCATTTTAAAACAAGTAAAAAAAACATTCAGGATGACAGGACTGTGCAACTACTGATTAAAAATAAACTAAATGAAAGACATATCTTTATCACTTTTGTAATAGAGATCTGAAGTCATGTCACCACATCTGATTAGCCTCTGTTCCACTAGCTTCAGTGATTCTATAAAATCTCTAATTTAGCATTTTTCCATCATTCATTGTATAAAAAACGTTCCTCTGGATGTTTTCTCATATTCTAAGACAAGCCACAAACCACTACAACACTTACAGCTGAAAGTTGAAAGCTTTGTGGTTTTAAAAAGGTTAATTAATGGTTAATTATTTTTAGCATCTGAAAAACTACATTTCCAATGATTGCTTTGCAGCACTGCAGTACCATATTAACGTCATTGTTAGTTACTAGATGCTTCTGGACTTCGGCAGTCCAAGTAACACAACTGTGTATTTCTGATATTAGTCTCACCTCTCTCAGCTTTTTAAACTGTAGAAAACATAGGATGCATAATAGTTCCAGCCACCTCTCGACTTGGGACCTCAGTTCAATTCTTCTGCCAGTCAACCAACATCAGCTGGTGAGGTTTCAGCCTTGACAGGCTCAGGCTTCTGGGAAATGGCATTCATTAAAGGCCAGGAAAACAATATTACATTAATCTTTCTTGCACAACCTGGAAGTTCTGGCATTTTTTGTGGTAATGAGTCAACACGCTAAACCCATGGTATAAAATTGGGTGCTGAATCCTCAAAACACAAAGTTCAGTACTGAAAAGCGCTTCTCTGAAATCATTTATTCATATATTGCAGTTGTTCAGTGTGCAGACTAGTAGTAGGCTAGTGTTATATCTGGCTACAAGTGAACTGTGTAACAGTCAAATGCAAAAAATGTAGCCAAAACTCATATCCCACATTACAGTCATACTGACACCTTCACTCCCTTGTTCACCCCAAAAGAGTGTGATTCTTCAGAGGGTTATATCTTGTGATACAGTGTCACAGGTGACTTTAATTTCAGGATCTGAGTTAGTTTTCATCATGGCCTCACCCCTCCTATTGTCCTCTGTGGGCCCCTTAATATTGTTATAAATGCAGGTGCTGCTAATTCTAGCTGGCTCTGTTACAACCAGTGAAGCAGTGCTGCTGTTATACCAAGGATCCTAGATTTGCTAGATGTACCTAGGGAGGCGCTCCATATTCTCATTCACTATTGCTTTCATCATCCACTGGGTTCATCTTGATAGTATCATGAAAAAAAAAGAGATAAAAAACTTACTTGATTTTTAATAAATGGAAATTAAGACAAGCTATATTTTTATAGTCATGTGATGATTAGAAAAATAAAGGCATAAGAAACATTTTTAAACTAATAATTAAATAATTTACAAATTAAAAACAAAACTAGAGAAATGCATTTCCTTGCTTTGCTAAAGGATTGACCTGAAAATGCCTGAAATCAATTGTTGAAACAGCTGAAGGATGAGAAGAAATGGCTGAAGTTCTTTGTAAGCTTGGACACAAAATGGACAATGAAACAGCTGGAAGGAACAGTCATCGCAGAGCATGGAGTGCAGCTGACAATTTAGTGTACATAGAAAGAGCACACAACCTGAAACAGAGGAGTAGTACAATTCACAAGACTCAGAGAATGACAACATCAGCGGTAGTTTCACTGAAGTGCATTTTTGAACATGGCATGGCTTACATAGCTATCAGCAGAGTGACCTCCTTCAGTGGACTGCACCTACTGGACATGGATGAGACATGATTTTATTTGAATTCAGAGATCACATCAGCCCTGGAGACCACGAGACAAGCCAACATGGATGACATGATGCTGCTTCCTCAGATCAGACAAATACTGAGCAGACTGTACAGTACACTCTGACCATCATTCACCATAACACAGAAGGACTGCCGTCTCATGTCGGTGACATGAAGAGTCTGTGTCTGTGACTGTGTCTGGCAGATGTTTTATGTCTCACAGAAACAAATCTATAAGGCTGCAGCTGGATGGTTAAAAATGGATAAAACACAAAAATGAATAAAACGCAACTGACACCTGTCCTATTCAAATTTTCCACATATGGCCAAATGGTGCTGTTGCTGCTTATGTCACAGACCACATTCAAATCCTCCTTTAATTAAGTTAACTTTAGCAAATGGAACTGAATATGTTATGAGTGTATTTTCATGGCTTAATGCCCTGTAGTCTCATACTCTTATATTTTTTCTGTCAACAGAGAGTTCACCCCAACAAAATGAAGATGTATACAGAATTAATAGACTCCCACAGGAAATGAAAGTCCTCCTCTTGTACTGAACCGCCTATGAGGAAGGCAAAACTCAGATTCCCTCACTGGCTGTCAGCGGGTAACACAGGCAAAATGTTGACAGGCTTGTGCTAACGTTTGTATGTGAGGCCAACCAACCATTTCCTGTTGTGGAGACAACATCCTTCAAAACTATGATGGAAACCTTGCAACCTCAGTGTACAGTAATGACAAGGAAAACATTATGCTCAAAAATACAGGAATCTGCAAAGAACATGAAGAGCATAATCATCAAAAAGCTGAGCACTGTGAACTATGTCTCTACCACAACAGACTGCTGGTCTGCCAAACAACAGCTATTTAGCAGTCACCTGTCACTGGATAGATGACACCTCTTTAGAGAGACACTCTACTGCATTGGCTTGTAGGCCTCTTAAGGGCTCACAAACATGTGATGTCCTTGCTGCAGTATTAACAATAATAATAATAATCACCGTTATTTGGCAAATTATGTTACAAGGAATTTGTTTCTGGTACAGAACCAAGGCAGCCATTTGTGGCACCAACTCAACCTATGGTAACAGTGTCTTGCCCAAGGACACTTCGACTGCAGGTACCAAGATTCGAACTCCCGATCCTCCGGTTGGGAAATGACTGCTCTACCCACTGAACCACAGTCGCCCCACCATTTGAGGAAATACATTCTTCAGGGAAAAAGTGACCAAGACAACAACAGACAGTGGTTCAAACTTCTTTAAAGCCTTTCGATTATATGGTGAGGCGAAAGAGGAAGATTCCACTGATGAACAAGAAGATGGAGACTCTACCCTTGATGATGCAACAGAAGAGAGTGAGTTAGAGGTGGAGTATCAAGATGTGTCTGCTGTTTTGAATGACAACACAGGTCTTGAGTATCAACTTCCAAGGCACAAAAAAAGAGTGCATGTCATCTACTCAATCTTATATCAACAGTTGATGCCACTGCCACCGGAGTTGCCAATGAAACATACAAGAGGCTGTCTCAATCTGCTTTTGCAAAATGTCATGCTCTGTGGAATAAAACCAGCAGGTCAACCATGGCTTATGAAACAGTGGAGGACTTTTCTGTCAGCAAACAGGATTATGCTCAGTATGTGACCGTGTACATCAGCACTTGTGTTGACAACATCGTGCCCACCATACAAGTCAGGAGGCTCCCCAACCAGAAGCCCTGGATAAACAGTCAGGTATGCCACATGCTACGTGCTTGCTCTCATGCATTCAGATCAGGCAATGAGATGGAGTACAAACCTGCAAAGTATGGACTAAGACTAAGGAAAGCCATCACAGCAGCCAAGAGACAGTACAAAGAGAAGCTGAGTGGCTTTTATTCTACTGCTGACTCCGGGTGGATGTGGCAAGGCCTGCAGCACATCACAAACTACAGGACCACCACCAACATCATCAGCTCCACAGCCTCCTGGATGACCTCAATACCTTCTACACCCACTTTGAGACCTCCAACCACAGCACAGAGAAGAGGCACACACACACCGAGACTACCCAACCCCCCTCCACTCCATTAACTGTCTCATGAGGCCAGGTATGCGAAGCCCTGAGGAAGATCGACCCCGCAAGGCGGCAGGACCGGACAACATCCCTGGGCAGGCTCTGAGAGCATGTGCCAACAAACTGGCTGATGTTCTCACCTACCATCTTCAACCTCTCCCTCAGCCAGAGCATTATTCCCTCCAGCTTTAAGACCACAACCATCTTCCCCCTTCCCAAGAGGAGCCCAGTCACCTGCCTGAACGACTACTGGCCAGTGGCCACTCCAATCATTATGAAATGTTTTTAGAGGGTGGTGCTGGTCCACATCCAGAGCAGTATACCAGACACCCTGGAACCCTGCAGTATGCCTACTGGCCCAACAGGGCCACCTCAGATGCTATCACGGCTGCCCTTCATTATTCTTTTTCACACCTGGAAAATGTAGACTCCTACATCAAGATATTCTTCATTGTCTACAGCTCCACCTTCAACACAGTTGTCCCCCACAAACTCACCCACAAACTGTCCACACTAGGTCTGCACCCCACCCTCTGTGACTGGATCCTGAACTTTCTGACTGGCAGGCCCCAGCCTGTCAGGATTGGCAATAGGATTTCAGCCAGCATTGTTACAAACACTGGCACCCCACAGGGATGTGTCCTCAGTCCCATCCTCTACACCCTGTTCACCCACGACTGTGTCGTCTCCCACAAAGACAACATCATCCTAAAGTTCGTGGACGACACTGCAGTGATAGGTCGCATCACTGGTGGGGACGAAGCAGCCCACAGGAGGGAGGTGGCCGGTCTGGTGTCATAGTGCAAGGACAATAATGTCAGCCTCAAGACGGACAAGACAAGGGAAATGATAGTGAACATGAGGAAGGAAAGGAGACCTCATCAGCCACTGGGTGAGCAGCTTCAAATACCTGGGCATCCACATCAGTGAGGACCTCACCTGGACACAACACCATGCAGCTGGTCAAGCAGGCCCAACAGCAGCTGTACTTCCTGAGGAGGCTGAGGAGGTTTGGCATGTCGCCTAGGATCCTTTGCAACTTCTACAGCTGCAGCGTCGAGAGCATCTTGACCAGCTGCATCACCATCTGGTATGGCAGCACTACTGCTATGGACCGCAAGCACCTGCAGAGAGTGGTAAAGACTGTGGAGAATATCACCAGAACTACACTGCCCTCGCTGCAGAGCATTTACCACTGCAGGGTGCATAGGAAGGCTTCCTCCATCCTCAAGGACCCCACCCACCCCCAGCACAGACTGTTAATGCTGCTACCCCCCAGCCGGAGGTTCAGAAGTGTGAAATGCAGGACCAATAGACTGAAAAACTCTTTCTTTCCCTCTGCCATCAGACTCCTAAACAGCTGACAGGAGTTTATTACTAGGAAATACGTCATGTAATGACGTTATGATGACCTGTACTGTTTACATTCTCAGTTTGCACATGCATAATTGTGCATTCACTGTTGACTACTGCACATACAGTTCCCACGTAGCATACATTCTCTTATTATGTTCTTATATATTTTTATTATATCTCTGCATTTGCTGCTTTAAAGTGCTTTAAATTTGTGTTACTTATTTATCTACTTTATATTTCATTTGTATTGTGTGACATTCATGTGGATGAAGAATTTCATTGTGCAGGGAAATGCTTTTACGTATATAAACTGTGTTATATGAAGACAAATATGCTAATAATTAAGACTTACTCTTTCATTCTGATTCACTTTCTCCTTTTTTTTGCTGCTCTGTTATTACTTCCACACTTAATCTAATCTTGATTTCCACACATACAGTATTAAGATTTTCCTACTTAAGTTCTGTTTTACAATTTTCTGCTAAATAGGATTCATCTCTTCCACCTCCTCAACCTCACCACTACAAGCTCTCTGTCCAAACAAAATGTCTATGGACTTCATTTCTTTCCCACCTTAAGTTCACTATATTTTTTTTCTAGATCATCTAAGTGTGGAGACCAACCTGACCCATCAAACAATGCCCAGGTCTGGGGCAAGGTTGGTCCGTGCCGACTGGCTGGTACCTTTGGTGGTGGTCTCAGCAATGACATTCCTCTGTCTCGTCCTTCTGCTGGCTGTTCTTGTATACTGGAGGTGGGTGCAACAGAACAGTCACTTAGAAACTACTTGCAAAAGTAGGTTGGGGCTGGGATGGGATGATGGATTGCATGCCTGATGCTGCATTTGACACTACAGTATACTGACTGGTCTGCTTACAAACTCTACAGACATTAAAACACACAAAGAGGGAAAGGGGTGACTGTGCTTCAGTGGGTAGAGCAGATGTCTTCCAACCGGAGGGCTGGAGGTTCGAATCTCAGTGCCTGTAGTTCACGTGTCGGAGTGTCCTTGGGCAAGACACTGATCCCCAAGTTGCCCCTGATGGTTAGAGCCATCAGTTGAGTTGGCGCCGCAGATGGCTGCCTCAGTTCTCATTGGTTGGTTCCAATTTAATTTTAAAAAATCTAACCTGGAAGCATTTTTATATTTTCAATGAAAATTTTATTTTACTTGACAGTGTAGAAATGAAATATCATTTTTTCATGTTGGAAACTTCGGGTTGACAAAACAGAATATGTATCCTGTATTTTCCCAGAATTTTCTAATACATTACAATACGTTTGGCAATGTTTTGTACAGTGTGGCTTACAATAAGTGTGTTAAATTTAAAGGTAATTTTATTTAAGTCAGATATAGGAATTCTGAGTTTTGACATATCCAAGTGAAAGGACTGACAGAAAAAACAGGATGTCCACCATCAACTGAAAACTCCAACTCTCATTAACTCTTGATTTACTGATTTACCCTACATTTACCTGATGTACAGTAAGTTTCTAGTTCCAACATTACATCATTGTATCAAGTAACGCATACAGTAAATATTATCTTCTTGTTCCAGTTATTTAAGTATTCAAATTTGAGATGCCTCACTAAAGATCAAAGGTCAAGGTCAAAGGTCACTATTCTATCAAATGGAAATACAGTACTCAAAGATTTATGAATCATGCTTGTCCACACTAAATTTTAAAATAAAAATGAGTGAGCTTGAGCACACAAAAAACCTGAACCTGAACATGCTCAAAACAGTGGAGATGACAGTGGACTTCAGGAAGAACCCCCTCGCCATACTTGGCAGCTCTGTACCAGCAGTAAAGTCCTACAAGTTCCTGGGCTGCACCATCTCCTGGGAGATGAGGTGGACATCCAACATCAGGACCATAATCAAGAAGACACAGCAGAGGATGTACTTCCTGCATCAGCTCAGGAAGTTCAACCTGCCCCAGGAGCTGCTGATACAGTTCTAGAGAGGAATCATCGAGTCTGTTCTCTGCACCTCCATCACTGTCTGGTTTGGCTCAGCAACCAAACTGGGCAAGTACTTCAGGACTGCAGAAAAGATCATCGATGCGAGCCTGCCCTCCATGGACGGCGCTACAGGTCACTGTACGCCAAGACAACCAGGCACAAGGACAGTTTCTTCCCCCAGGCCATCACTCTGATGAACACTTGACCCACGACAGTATGTCTGGACAATGCAGTGCAAAACCTGTAAATATACATTGTACATATAGATAGCTGAATGCAGAATGT